GAGAGAGAGAGAAAGCCTTTGAGAGATGAGTCAGCCTAGATGCTTACAATTCCGAAGGAAATCAAAGGTCTTAGAATAAACTGTTTGTCACTGCCTCCTGCTCAAAGACACAGGGCTAAACTTAAGAGCAGTCATTCACCGCAGTTCTGCCAGCAAAATTGGCACTGTCTTGCTTGCCTTCAACTCCCTCAAGGCACCAGTAGGATACAAGACAGAAGCAGAGTTAGGAAGGCCAGTGTGCCCAGACAAGAACCAACTGGGCGGGGTGAGGAGGGGGGTCAGATTGACAGGCTTCAACCCTGTGAGAGAGGCATAGCAAGTTCTAGAGATCTGAACACTTGTCCTTGGGCCTGATTTTCCAAGCTTAGCACAAAGGAGGTCCCCTACAGAGAATGAGATGCCGAGAGACCTCTTTTGCTCCAAAGTGTCTCTGCTTCCCCTTCAGCATGCTGTGGCAAAGGCCGGAAGTAACCATGAGATCAAAAAGATAATAAAGAAGAAAGATGAAAGCAAGCTGGCTCAGTTTTGACTTACAATTCAAACCATTTGCAAAAGCAATATCCTTTGACAAATGTCTGTAGTGAGCACTGGAGTTAGAGCCAAATAGAACTAAGTTGAAGGCCAAGTTTACAATGCCTAAATTGTGTTACCTTAGGAAAGTCAGCAGAATTCTCTGAGCCTCAGCGGCCTCCACTATAACATGGGATAATAACACTACCTATTTCAGCAGCTGTGTGAGAGTTACATTAAATAATGAACATGTGATATTTAGTGTTGGTTTTTTAGATAAACATGCTGATATTGAAGGTTCTTGCAGAGGGCCTGAGTATACCAGAAAGCATCAGTCTTCAAAAGTAATTACATAAAATTAGAATTTGTATCAATGCATCTAAGGGCCTACTCTGCTCAATGTCTACCAAATTTGAATAAAATTAAAACAGGTAAAGGAGTCTTGGGGGACTATTTGGACCAGACCTTTCTTTTTCAAGCTCCAATCAATTAGGATCAAATATATAAAAAAATTATCTTATGAAATTCAGAAACACTAACTATGTAAGTCAATTTTTCAAATATTATTATTCAAACTAATAAAAATTCTATATG